TTTTCCTTCCTCATCCTCCCCTTCCTTACGCCCCCCCCTTGACTCTTCCCTTCTGCCATGTCAGTTACTGGCAGCCCCGTTGAAGCAATAATCAGGGCTGTTTTGACACAAGTTTTAATTGAGTTAGCCTCCCCAGGCCTTGTCTAAGATGGTCCCTTATGTCGCAGGAATAATAATGATGATGATGATGATGATGATAATGATGATGAATGATGATGGTGTTATTATTATTATCATTTCCATTAAGAAAAACAAATAACTTCCTTAACAGAGAGAGAGAGAGAGAGAGAGAGAGAGAGAGAGAGAGAGAGAGAGAGAGAGAGAGAGAGAGAGAGAGAGAGATAACAAAGCTCGTTCACTTGGATCAACTCAGGAGCCCAAGACAATCTTCTTCAGCGGCAACAAAAAGAAAGTCAGAAAATGAAAGTTTTTAAGACACATTTCGCCAAGTTTCGCCAGATTTTTTGTTATGGAGAAAATTGAACACTTTCTCCTATTGAACATTGTTATTGTTCTGTAAGTAATCAAAATCCCAAGGTTCAATAGGTGATAAATTCCAAGGTTCCATAGGTGATAAATCCCAAGGTAAAAATGTTATGAATGACAATACCGACATGACACGGGAATGATAATGACATAACCAATATAACATGACAAAGAATGACACGTGTTGACATAACTTCTTCTCAACTCAAATCAAAATAAGACCAGAATACGGAACAGAAATAATGAACAACAGATGAATAACATTTTAAAAAGTTTCCGAATGTTATTAGAGACTTCGATAACATTTGTATTTTGTTATGAAAATAAGATAATCAAATCCCATATCTGGTAAAAGTTAAAACTGAAGGGAAAATGGAATCAGGGTGAATGCCATTGAGAGAACGACTGAATGTTAACCTTTGAAAACCCATTGTATTCGGCTTCGGTATCCGGAAAATTTGCAAATTTTTGCCAACTTTTTGCAGGTTTGTGTAATTGAGAAGAACTGGAGCCCCATTTCCAAAGGCTCCTTATGGGATTATAGGCTCCAGAAGGTAAGCTTTTCCACGGTTAATTCTGATGACGGTGTTGGCCTCGACTCTGTGATCGGTCTGTGTGTCTTCAGGAGATTTGCTTAACAACAGAACTACTTAACAACAGAACTACCTAACAAAAGAACTACCTAACAACATAACTACTTAACAACAGAACTACTTAACAACAGAATTACCTAACAACAGAACTACCTAACAACAGAACTACCTAACAACAGAACTACCTAACAACAGAACTACTTAACAACAGAACTACTTAACCAGAACTACCTAACAACATAACTACTTAACAACATAACTACTTAACAACAGAACTACCTAACAACAGAACTACCTAACAACAGAATTACCTAACAACAGAACTACCTAACAACAGAACTACTTAACAAAAGAACTACCTAACAACAGAACTACCTAACAACAGAACTACTTAACGACTGAACTACCATGACATCATTTCAGGTTATTTCAAAAGAGTAAAGGTTAATTTTTTTATGTTAAATTACTTAGAAAGGTCACGAAAAATATTAAATTGTTAGCGTCTGTTAATGGGTTTTATTTAACAAACTTACGAGGTTTTGTTAGCGAGATTTTATTTATTTAGTAACATTAACCCCTTGAGTACAATGACTTAAGTCCCCTGAGTACGATGTGTTAACCCCTAGAGTACAATGACTTAAGACATCGTTATAGTGAGGTTAATGGCGGCAGTAAGTCAGATGGTGGGTTAATGACCTCCATTGTTCCATTACCGACCACCCTAACTACCTCCCCTGAATGGTTATTGTTGGTAGTGGTAGTTGTGGTTGTTGTAGTTGTTGTGGTGGTAGTTGTGGTTGTTGTTGATGTGATTGTTGTGGTTGTTGTTGCAGGTGGTTGTTGTTGCAGGTGGTTGTGGTTGTTGTTGTGGTAGTTGTTGTTGTTGTGGTGGTGGTTGTTGTGGCTGAGGTTGTGGTTATTATTATTATTAATATTATTATTATTATTATTATTATTATTATTATTATTATTATTATTATTATACTATCTCAGGGTCACAACTTAATACTTATATAACATGGACTCTTGCACCATTTTCTTATACATACATACATACATACATACATACATATATACAGTACATACATACAGTACATACATACATACATACATACATACATACAGTACATACATACATGTCCCATCACATCATACATAAAATTCAACGATATATTTTCACAAATGTCATTCCCAACCAATTCTCAACCTGTCAAATACACTCTCAAGTAACTACCGTGTGTGTGTGTGTTGAGTGCGTGGAAAGTGTGTTGAGTGCGTGGAAAGTGTGTTGAGGAAATATTGTGCGTGATGAAAATGAATTGAGTGTGTATCGAGCGTGTGCATATGTGGCGAGTCTGTACTGAGGTTGTGAGTGTCTTGAGTGTGTGTGTTTTGAGTGTGTCTTGAGTGTGTGGCAGGATAAGTGGAACTAGATGAGAATAATTCCTCTCCCCTGATAGCGATGAAGGACACAAGATGGCGGTGTAAACAATGATGACGTCATGATAGTCACGTGATTTGACACACCTGAACACACACACACTCACACACACAAACACACACACACACCAGATTCTCCTAAATTTAGTGAGACTGTAAATCTCTCTCTCTCTCTCTGCACATTCAATTTTCAACGGCGAATAACACAACGATCGCCTTCACAAGTTTCAATTCCCTTTTACGGGGCCCTAGAGAGGTCAACATAGCGCTAACGGGTGATTTGGAGGCAAAAGACAGGAGAGGAAGACAGAATTTAGCGCTGTTTTACCGTCACTTTTAAACAGGTGCTTCAGACGGGTAGGGTAGGGTGAGTGAGTGGGTTGGGGTGGGGTGGACGGGTATGGTGGGTTGGTGGGAGGGGAGAGGAGAGGGAAAGGGGAAGTGGGAGACGGTCACCTTGGATGATATGGAGAAAGAGAGAGAGAGAGAGAGAGAGAGAGAGAGAGGAGAGAGAGGGGGGGGAGAGGAGAGAGAGAGAGAGAGAGAGAGGAGAGAGAGAGAGAGAGAGAGAGAGAGAGAGAGAGAGAGAGAGAGAGAGAGAGAGAGAGAGAGGGGGAGAGAGGAGAGAGAGAGAGAGAGAGAGAGAGAGAGAGAGAGAGAGAGAGAGAGAGAGAGAGAGAGAGAGAGAGAGAGAGAGAGAGAGAGAGAGAGAGAGAGAGAGAGAGAGAGAGAGAGAGAGGGGGGGGGGGAGAGAGAGAGGGAGAGAGAGAGAGAGAGAGAGAGAGAGAGAGAGAGAGAGAGAGAGAGAGAGAGAGAGAGAGAGAGAGAGAGAGAGAGAGAGAGAGAGAGAGAGAGAGAGAGAGAGTGTCGTCTGGGACCATTAACTACCATTTAAGACCATTGAGGGCCATTTACCCGTATTTATAGACAAAATTCAAGACCACTGACGATCTGTTTAGACATTTAAAGACCGATTAGGACCATTGGCGGCCATTTTAATATCACAGGCGACCATTTAAGACCACTTTAGACCATTGGCAGCCATTTTAAACCATTAAAGACCACTGGCGACCATTTTAGACCATTAATGACCACTGACTATCATTTAATACGCCCTCTGTGACCTCCCAGACCATCAAAGACCTTCGGAACGGAGATCAAACACGTTCTATACACGATCCAAACATATCAGGCAGGGGTGGTGTGGGGGAGATGGGAGGGTGGTGAGGGGAGGAGGTAGAAGAAGGGGAGGGGAAGGGAAGAAGTTTGGGGGAGGTGTTGGGAGGGGGAGGGGAGGAGGATGAGGATAGGATGGTGATGTTGGGGAAGGGAGGAGGGGAGGGGATGTCCAGTTCAATACAAAGTGGATTCTAACCCTTGTTCCATTGTACCCGGAGCAGGTGGGGGCTAGATATGTTTGAGTGTGTGTGTGTGTGTGTGTAAAATTATCAAACACTCTTACCTATTCTATCTTGTTACTGTCTATTTGTTTTCTTAATCCATCTATCTACCTATGTATGTGTATGTATGTGGCGTATGTATGTATGTATGTTACCCATTTACACAACGGACACAGACAGACACACTTGTTGTGATACAAATTGAGAACGCGCCTGTCTGGAGGTTCTCTGACACCTCCCCCCAATTAATAATGACCCCAGGTAAACCCCAGGTGAGAGAGAGAGAGAGAGAGAGAGAGAGAGAGAGAGAGAGAGAGAGAGAGAGAGAGAGAGAGAGAGAGAGAGAGAGAGAGAGAGAGAGAGAGAGAGAGAGAGACCCCACTAGCATCAAGCAGAGCGTCACGACAGCTTAAAAGGAATCTATGAATGTAATCACTACACACACAAATAATAATAATAATATCAATAATAATAACACATTAATAATATCATCAATAATAATACATTAATATCAATATTATCACACACGACTATCTACGCCCGTGTAATCAATAGCCTGAGTTCTGTTCGTAGCTGGTATGGCATTATTGGGTGTTGAGGTGGAGTGGTGATTGTAGGGTGATTTTAAACGCATGTGATTGGTGATTATTGGTTCTAGACAGCGGTAATTGGTGACGACTCTGGTTCAGATAAATTTTGATTTTTGAGTGGTGACCTTGGTATAGGAGGTCAATGGAATAAGGTCAGGGGTTAGAGGTCACTTAAGACAGGTGTTATCTTCCATCTGTTAAAATCCCGTACTGATCGGTCAATATGGATGCTTCCTAACGTGGGGTGACCTTGAATGGTGACCTCTGACCTTGCCTTTGTAACTTATATTGATTCAAATCGATCATGTTCTGGATTTTTACCTTAGTTACACTGTCCTAAAATTTTAAAAGAATCGGTCGAAGAATAATGAAATAATGAGGAAAGCAAAAAACAAATCAGACAATACAACATAGCGCCTGAGGTCCTCACCCGAGGCTTCACGGGGTTTGGTTGTGTCAAGAACTCTACAGTAAATAGAGACAACACTCACCTGACGACGCTGTGGATCAACTGCTGGGCCTGCTCGGCTGTGGGCGGTGGCCAGTCCTCTCGTGGGTGATGTCCCGGCCCGCCCCCCCACATGCCGCCCATCAGAGCCGGGTGGGGTGGCGGAGGCAGTGGCCCGTACTCCAGCGGGTAGTCGAGTGGGTAGTCCGGTGGGAGGAAGTCCGGGTGGATGTACTCAGGGGGTATGTCTCCCGGGTAGGCCGGGTGGGGCGGCAGAAAGGGCAGGTCTGGCGCCAACATCGGGTCGGGTATGTAAGCTACGTCATACGGGTACACTGGGTAATGTGGGTATTCCATGGGCAAAAACGGGGGCCCCATAGGTGTCCCAGGGGGGACGGGTGATATGGCCCCGGGGGACATCTTACCCGGGGACATAGGGCCAGGCAGTGTCATGGGCGGGTAACTCATCAAGTGAGGGAATCTGATTGGGTCCTGCGGGTGTGGGTAAGGCTCGTCTGTGTACCTGGGGTCGATCAACCTCGGGTCGATCATTCTAGGATCAATCATCCTGGGGTCAACCATTCTGGGGTCAATCATCCTGGGGTCAACCATCCTGGGGTCGTACATGGAGGCGGGGTCGACCATGCGCTGGTCCATGTGGTGGTCCTGGTGGCCGGCGTGGTCCAGCCACCTGTCCGAGGACCGGGACCGTCGTCGACGACCTTGTTCCTGGTTGTGTCGTCGGGCCTCCACGTCTCCTGAACGACTTTTCCTCAGGTGTCGTGGCTCCCTGGCTGCCCCGACCACCTCTCTGTTGTCCCTGACGCCCCTGGGGGTCTCCCTGGAGCGGCCGCGGCTAGTGTCCCTGGGGGGCCGAGGCTTGCCCACCATCTCCCTCAGGTCCATCAGGTCGCCGGAGCTGGAGGACATATCATCCCGGCGGAGTCTCGTGTCTTCACTCCGCTGTCGTCGAGGCTGACGGCGGCCGTCTTCTTCATGTCGTCGTTGTCTCGCCCTGTCTTCAGACATCTGTCTCCTGACGCCGCCTCGCCCCGCTGGGGAGTGGAGGGGCGCTGGGGGAGGAACTGGTACCTCTGGGGGGTGCTGGATGACACACACATCTGAGTTAATCTCCTGGTACTCATGACTGGACGGGGAGGAGCTGCCGGACCCGGGGCGTGGCAGCCGGGTCTTCCGGGGTAATTCCGGGGGCACGGGGACGGCCTCCCGGGGCTTGAGGGTTCGGTCTATAGGCGGAGGCTCTGCAGGCTCGGCGTCCGTCGTGGTGATGGCGTCGAGGGTCGGGGCCTCATCATTGGTGTCAGTCTCAATGTCGTCAAACTCTGACAACACGCGGTCCAGCACGTCCAGACTCTGGCGGATCTCTTCACTACTGTGGGGGAGAAGACGGTACCTGTTAGTGCTACACACTACTTATACTTACAACTATACTTATACTTACACTTACCACACGAGTTTCACTTACACTCCCACCAAGAACATCACTTTTACCTTCACTTATAACAACTACATTACTTATATCTGTACTTATAAGTGTGTGTGTGTGTGAATGACTCCAGCCTGTACACCTGGTCCTCAATACAAGCTCAGATACATTTATGTTAGCGAGGAAGTCACGTTCAGAACGGCTTGTCTCGCCTCCCACGCCAGTACTTAGTCGCTATTACTGTCAACGACCACACACGCACGTTCACATACACGTTCATACACGTACGATCACATACACGCACGTTCTTATATACACGTACATACACGCTTTCATGCACGTTCACACACACATTCCTTTATAAATTATTCGTTCATACACACTTCTGACACACACGTTCTTATATAAACGTTCACACACGCACCGCACGCACATTCTCATAGACACGTTCACAGACCACCTCCCCAACACACACACACACACACACACACACACACACACACACACACACACACACACACACACACAGTACTCCCCAGCAGCTAGCCATTATCAAAAACAAAGTAACGGGAGATGGGACTTTAGACCTGACTGACACCCACACGCCCTGATGAACAGACGATGATGGTAGATCTCTCTAAAATATATAAAATACAAATACATTAGAAAAAATATATAGAAAAAATAAATAAAAGTATAGCAAAAAAATGCAACTTAAAGTTTATAAAGCAAAAAACACATAAGAAAAATATAGAATTAAAAAACACGAAAAATTATATAAAGGAAAATAAACTTAAATAAATAAAATAAAAATTGTATAAAAAAAATATTGTGACTCACAGTCCTCCCCCACAACACAATTACTCACACACGGCCTCCTAACCTCTCACCACACGGCTCCCCAACCTCCTCACCACATCGGCCTCCCTAGCCTCCACCACACGGCTCCCTAGCCTCCACTACCCATGCCTCCTAACCTCCACTACACGGCCTCCCTAACCTCTCACCACACGGCTCCCTAACCTCTCACCATACGGCCTCCCTAACCTCTCACCATTAATGGCCTCCCTAGCTCACTGACTTCCCTCCTATACACAACTTTAACCTGATGAGGTGTGTGTGTGTAGGGGAGTGAAGGGGGTGGGTAGGGAGAGGAAGGGAGGGAAAATGGAGGGGGGAGGGAGGGAGGGAAAATGGAGGGGTGAGGGAGGAAGGGAGAGTGGAGACAGGGAGATAGGGAAACAGGAAGGGAAAGGGAGGAGGGAAAGAGTGAGGAAGGAAGAGTGAGGGAGGAAGAGTAGAGGGAGGGAGGATATGAAGGGAGAAATACAGGGAGAGGAGTGAGGAAAGCAAGAGGAACTGAAGGGAATGTGGGGGGACAGAGACAAGGAGAGTGGAGGCAGGGAGAGAAAAAGAGAGGAAGGAAGGGATACAGGGAGAGAATAAGGAAGGGAGAGTGGAGGGAGATATAGGTACTCTCCCATATTGAAGGTCTATTGGAGCGTTGTATAGGTTTCCCCAAGGAAGCTTTTTGATAGGGGAGGAAGGTGAGGAGGGAGGGAGAAGGGAGGTGAGGGAGGGAGAGAGGAGGTGAGGGAAGGGAGAGGGGGAGGTGATGAGGAGAGGGGAGGTGATGGAGGGGAGAGGGGGGGTGAGGGGGAGGGAGAGGGAAGGTGAGGGAGAGAGGGAAGGGAGGGGAGGGAGAGGGAAGGTGGAGGGAGGGAGAGGGAAGGTGAGGGAGGAGAGGGGAGGTGATGGAGGGAGAGGGAAGGTGAGGGAGGGAGAGGAAGGTGAGGGAGGAGAGGGAAGGGGAGGGTGAGAGGCGGAGGGAGGGAGAGGGAAGGCAGGGAGGAGAGGGAAGGTGAGGCAGGGTGAGGGAGGAAAGAGGGAAGGTGAGGAGGAGAGGCCAGGAGGGAGGGAGAGGGAAGGTGAGAGAGGGAAGGTGAGGGAGGGAGAGGGAAGGTGAGAGAGGGAAGGTGAGAGAGGGGAGGTAAGGGAGGGAGAGGGAAGGTGAGAGAGGGGAGGGAAGGTGAGAGAGGAGAGAGGAGGTGAGAGAGGGAGAGGCAGGAGGACCAATGAGCAACAAGATCATCAGGTGTGTGAGGATGGCCGGATTACTTACTAACATCAGCTGAAACACAAAACATAACAGCCACGGGCACGAATCTCTCTCTCTCTCTCTCTCTCACACACACACACACATACATGATGGTTAGGCCTCCAAGCTACAACCTATCTTAACTTTTGATGGAGTTTCTTGCCAATGTTCTCTGGCAAAACTTCATCAAACTTCAAATTGATGTTTACTTAACCCTACGAGAGACGGGATCAATGCTCACAAGGGTCGAGCAGGGGACCCTAGCCTTACATGTTCCTATATTGAAATTCTTCTCTCCCCTAACCGGCTAACTTAAGATACGACAAGTATATTCTCAGAGTGACCTTAAGGGTATTTTTTCCCTTAAATGTTTACGTGAGAATACCACCTGATTCCCTTAAGTTACGATAGAAAGATTTCCAAAGATTCGTAAGTTAAATTTTCCTCTTAACTGGAGGCATGAGAACGCATCTACTTGACTCACACTGCGTATAACTGTCTTGCTTAAAACTGTATCTACCTGACTCACACTGCGTATAACTGTTGCTTAAAACTGTATCTACCTGACTCACACTGCGTATACCTGTCTTACTTAAAACTGGATCTCCCTGACTCACACTTCATCTCCCTGACTCACACTTCATCTCCCTGACTCGCACCACGAGGCCAAAACGAACTCTCAATTTTCCTAAGACAATTGCCTCCTTACCCCCTCCCTCCCTCCCCCTGGCTACAGGGATGTGAGAACGCCTCTTATGGGATCATTTTAGACATGACAATAAAGATGACAGGTGAAATGATGACGAAATTGGAATGAGACGAACCTAACGGGGTTAGTTGACTCTCTCTCTCTCTCTCTCTCTCTCTCTCTCTCTCTCTCTCTCTCTCTCATATAACAATACCTCGGCCCTCACCTAGTTCGTGCACTAAGATGTTATCTGTCTGAAATCTTTATGTTATATCGCGCTCACAGCCAATGCTGGTGAGAGAGAGAGAGAGAGAGAGAGAGAGAGAGAGAGAGAGAGAGAGAGAGAGAGAGAGAGAGAGAGAGAGGGCGGGATCGACTCTTGAAAGCTCATCCTTCCTCCCTCCCTCCCACTCTTTTTCCTCCCACGCAGCCATCTGAGTCTGGCGTTTGCTTGTTCCCAGGGTTAAAAAGTCTTTCTTGTCTGTCCCTGCCTCTTCGTGTGTGTGTGTGTGTGTGTGTGAGAGATAGGAGACCAACTCAACCCAACTCTAACCTAATTCAACCCTAACCAAACTCTAACCTTATAAGATCATTCCCCACAGATAACTTTTACTGCCCTTGGAGAGTTGCATCACTTACATAAGATAACAGATAACGATAGGAGTCTTGCCCCACTCACTGGGACAAACTAATTTGGCGAGGTTGGGGGAAACTTTTTGGAAACAAGGACAATGGTAGGGGAAGTGAAGGGAGGATAGGGAGGGAGGGGAGGGGAGGAGGGAGGGAGGAGGGAGGGGAGGGAGGGAGGGAGAGGAGGGAGAGGAGGAGGGGAGGGGAGGAGAGGAGGGAGGGAGAGAGGGAGGGGAGGGAGGGAGAGAGGAGGAGGGGAGGGGAGACAGAGAGGGAGAGGGAGGAGGAGGGAGGAGGGAGAGAGGGGAGGAAGGAGAGAGGAGAGAGGGGAGGGAGGGAGAGAGGAGAGAGGGAGAGAGAGAGAGAGAGAGAGAGAGAGAGAGAGAGAGAGAGAGAGAGAGAGAGAGAGGAGAGAGAGAGAGAGAGAGAGAGAGAGAGAGAGAGAGAAATCCTTTCAAGGTTTCACGACTTGAACAAAACACAAATCATTAACCTAAGAAAGTGTGAAATTCTCAGTACAAAAGGAGAAGAAAAAGAAGGAGGAGAAGAAGAACACGGGATGGAGGAGGAGGAGGAGGAAGGGGGTACTTATGTAAATCAGATGGACCGTGAGAAGGCTGCGGTCAACAAGATGTTCTCCTCAAAACAAAGTCACCTCTTACGCTTTCCATCACCCAGGCGTCACAGGGCGTCTCATTACGTCACGAAGGCGTAAACAGTCGCGTAAAAACAATCAAATGCGTAAAGGCGTCCTGGGCTGGTTTATCAGTACCTGACCTTTGACCTTACACACACACACACACACACACACACACACACACACGCATGCACACACGGCAAACGAGGAGAAACTACGTCACAATCGCATCACACAGCGTTACAAAGACGTGACAATCGTACAAAAAACATCATAATACGTCACGATCCGTCACACCTCCCCGCCAATAACAGATATACTGCAATGTTACGTAACGCTCCTTAACCAACGTCGTGTGAAGACAAACAACGCTTACCCAATGTTACGTTACAAAATAGGTATTAGTCACAAGAGTATCGATCAGGTCCCATTTATCAACACCTACGAACCTGAGATAATAACTACAGCGATAACTACGGCTACAATAACAACTACAACAACGACGACAACAACAATTACAACAACAACAAGTAAACCAACAACTACTAGAATGACTACCAATACAACAACTAGATCAACAATCACAACCCAAATAACACGACAAACTGGTCTCCACTCTGCCATGGTAGCTAAAAATCCCACCAAAATCCGACAAAAATCCCCGATATACTGGAGTTAAGGCTCAACCTAACCTAACCTAACCTCATTTTCCCCCTTTCTCCAGTATTTCTTTACTTTCTTCTTTCTTCACATTTTCTCTTCCATCTTCCTTTTCTACCACCCTCTCCTTCTCATCTCCCCTCTCTTCTCCACCCTTTCCCACCCTCTCCCTCCATCTTTTCCCACCCTCCTCCACCCACTTCTACCATGCTATACCCTTTCCCACCCCCCTA